GCCCAGGTCCTCGTTATCCCCCGTGGGCCGAGCACAGGCTGCTCATCTTGCCAGGCCTCCCCGTGCCCCCTTCAGTCTCTATCATGGCCCCTCAGGTGTCCCCTGCCCAGCATTTGTCCCCAGTGAGTCACTCTATCTGATCGTTAGTAGCCTGCTCACCCCTCCCCGACTGGACTGGTCCCTGAGGACAGGCACCAGGTCTGTCTTGCTGGCCTCACCCAGTGCCCAGCGCAGTGCCAGGCACACAGCAGGTTGGCCGTAAAGATTTAAGGGATAAGTCTTTGAACTACGTCTTTGAAACAGCAGACCCTGCCCCAGAGCCCCTCCGCAGACGTCTAACCCCATATCCCGAACCTGAAAGCCCAGGGGCACCAGCCAGGAGGTTCCCCAGAGGCACGTGGTGCTTGCAGGTTGGGCACAATAGAATATTCTTAGTTTCCACAAGGAGACAGCTTCTCCCATATTTTTCTTGAAACTCAAGGCCATCTTTGGCTAACTTATGTTTTCCTATTTTTGTCCGGGTACGTCTTGGAGAAAGATTTCCCTTTCCTCTTATCCTGACTATAGAAAAATCAAATGTTCGAGCTCAAGGATAAATGGTAATTGACCCTAGCTTGAGTACCAGGAAGCAGCAGGCAACAGTGAGGACTGTGGTAAATGGGGCCACACTAGGGACCACGGATCTATTGTCGTTAGACTGTCCGTTTTGGTTTTTTAGACATGGGGTCTCATTTGTTGCCCAAGCTGGCCTCAGCCTTGAACTCCTGGCCTCAGGAGATCCTCCCATCTCAGCCTCCCAAGTAGCTGGGGATTACTGGCATGAGCCACCATGTCCGGCCCATTTGTTTTTTCTTTCTTTCTTTTTTTTTTTTTTAGAGACGGGGTCTCACTCTTGTTCAGGCTGGTCTCGAACTCCTAAGCTCAAGCGATCCTCCTGCGTCAGCCTCCCAGAGTGCTAGGATTACAGGCGTGAGCCACCGCGCCCGGCCCCCGGCTCATTTTTTTAAATAAAGAAGAAACTCAGATTTTTCCAAGAAAACTCTCCATTTTCAAAACTCACATGGACCGAACCAATGAGATGAGATTGCTAGATTCTGCCTCTCAGCCACCAGTCTGCACGTCCTGGGATAATAATCCACATGTGGAACCAAGGGCAACACACGTAACCTAAACATCTGTACCCCCATAATATGTTGAAATAAAAAAAAGAAAAAACAAAACAAAACAAAAATAATCCACATGTGGTTGAAAGTCCCAGGTGCTTTCTCGAACATCAGCCTCTGCTCACTCAGGCAAAGATGCTGGGTGTGGGAAAGTGCTGGCTGCCTTCGTTTCCTGCCACGGAGGCCACTAACCCCATCTGTGGGCCAAACCCACCCTGTGTCCCATGTCCCAGCTCAAGAACCAAATGGAACTCTGGAAGAGCCTGGCCCGGAATTCCCCCCTGGGTGGGCATCAGTGCTCAGCCATGTGGGGGCCCCTGAGCTCCCCTCTCTCGCAAATCACGGGAACCCAGGGGTATACATCTCTCTCTCCCTGCCATCACGAAGCTGCTTCCAGAGACCGCCCCCCTGAAACTTCCCCTAAAAGAGGAAGTTCAATCCAGAAACAGAGACAGGAACAAAAAAAAGGTGGTTGGACAGAAAACCCCAAAGGCACTGGAAATAGTAACTCACCTGCCAACCAATCACAAGGCACGTCCTCCAGCGGCTCCTCAATGCTGGGGAAGGCCGTGCGAAGTCCCAGCAGAGCAGGTCCCCCCCTCGCTGCTTTCCCCTCTACCAGCTGCTCCTCTCTGCATCCTGAGAACCACCTGCTTCGTCTCCCTAGGGCTTTTGCAAGGACTGTTCCCTCTGCCTGGGATGTTTTTCTCCTCCAGCAACCAACTCCTATTCACGCTTCAGGGCTCACCATAAAATGACACTGCCTCAGGGAAGCCCTCCCTGACTGCATCCAGACAATACCTTCTGTTCGCCCTCCCGGATCTCTGTACTCCCTCTTCCCTGTGCTTTCCTCAGTCGTCTCCGGCTGTCTCAGAGAACCCTTCCCTGCCCCTTGTTGTGTGCTCTCAGCATTTATCACAGGTTCCCAAAGACTGGAGACAACCCCAGGGCCCATCTGCACGGGCCATCCCATTTAGAGGTCTGATTTGTTGCGTGTTTATTGTCTGGCAGTGCCACGACATCAGGGGCCTCATGTGTCTGTCTGTGGTGTCCCCAGCTCTAGGCAGCACCGGGCACACACGGGGGCTCCAGCTGTTGAATTAAGCCAGCCCCACTTCACTGGGAAACCCAAGAAACCCCAGGCCTGGGGCTGGCTGGACTGAGACTCCTGCCACTCCATTTAAAGGCCAAAAGTGACCTGGAAGCCGGGCTGGTAGGGAAGGACCTGCTGTCCAGGCCTGTTCTTAAGCCAGGCTGCCCTTCTCCAGCTCATTCTCCAGCCTGGAGGCAGCGTCAGCTCAGGGATCGGCTGATGAATTAACCTTTAAGGAGACGCTGCATGTGATTCCGTGCTGGTGCAGCTTCTGTTGCTTTTGGTAAATAAACTTCAGCAAGCGCGTTAAGTGGGTTTCCTGCCACGTGGAGCTATCAGGAGTCTGGGCTCTTGAGTACGTCCCTTACCAATAAATACGAGCCAGCCGCGTCTGAGTTAAAGAGAGCCCTGGGGGAGAAAATGAAATTGACACACACAGTTTCTCTTGAAGACTGTTCCTAATAGAGACGAAACGAAGTTGGGCTTTAGCCACTGGGCACAATGACATCTCACTGCTAAGAGTAAGGGAGAGAAGGAAAAAGAAATACACTCAGGATGCTAAAAACCCGTGAAAAATTAAGTAGACAACGTGAATGCCTGTCCCTGTGTCCCTGGGATGCCAGACCAAGGTGCACTTGGGGGTTGAGCCTCCCCCAGGACCCAGCCTGGCAAAGACAGCAGCTCTGAATCACTTACAAATGGTCCATAAATTACAGCACATCCATACAATGTTATTTATTCTGAGAGCGCCTCAGTTTGCTGAGCTATAAAAGATATAACAGCATCCTAGTCACTGGGTGACTGCCATGATGCAACGACATAATCTATGAACACGGCTCAGCACACTGCCGGCACATAGTATGTGCTCAGGAAATAGAAGCAATTACTGGGATGCCACGAAGCCCAAGAATGATGCAGACCTACGCGCTCCAATATGGAAGCTGCTGGAAGCTGCTAGCCTCGTGTGACTACTGAGCACTTAAAAGGTTGGTCCAAGGCTGGGCGCGGTGGCTCACGCCTGTAATCCTAGCACTCTGGGAGGCCGAGGTGGGTGGATTGCTCAAGGTCAGGAGTTTGAGACCAGCCTGAGCAAGAGTGAGACCCTGTCTCTACTAAAAAAAATAGAAAGAAATGATCTGTACATCTAAAAATATATATATATATAGAAAAAATTAGCCGGGCATGGTGGCGCATGCCTGTAGTCCCACTACTCGGGAGGCTGAGGCAGTAGGATCGCTTGAGCCCAGGAGTTTGAGGTTGCTGTGAGCTAGGCTGACGCCACGGCACTCACTCTAGCCCGGGCAAAAGAGTGAGACTCTGTCTCAAAAAAAAAAAAAGGTAGCTGGTCCAAACTGAGAGGTGCTGAAAATTCAGGATTAAAAGCTTTATTATTTGTCTGCTATCCCACTGTCTGCCCATGCAGCAGCCAGGGCAAAAGGCAATGAAAAGAAAAAAAAACAGAAAAACAAAAACCAACCCTGCTTTTGAAAACTTAGCATGAAGAACAGAATGAAAATTTCGTTTATCTTTAAAATAATACATGTTGAAATGATACTTTGGACATATACTGTCATCTTAAATATCTTGGAATGATAATTTCACCTGTTTCTTTTTCATGCGGCTCCTAGAACACTAAAAAATTACATAGGTGGCTCACATTTGTGGCTCCAGTTGCATTTCTATTGGACAGTTCTTACGGATCCATTCCGACATGGAAATATGTCCATGTTATTTTTTAAACTGAGATATAATTCACAAACCCTAAAATCCACCCTTTTAAAATGTATGAGTCAGCAGTTTTCAGTATATTCGCAAAGTTGTGCAACCCTCACCACTAATTCCTGAACACGTTCATCACCCTGAAAAGCAGCCCCATAGCCCCCCATTAGCAGTCGCTACCCATTTGTTCACGCTATTTTGAGAAAAAAAGAGCAAGTTGCAGGACAGTTATTATGGCATGAGGTGGGGTTTTGTAAAAATTAATATAGATTATATAGGTATTTGCATATGCAATTTTTAAATGTCTAGACTGATTTAACCAACTGCTAATGCTGGTTTTCTCCGAGAGCTAGAATTGGGGTGGGAGAGGAAAGCGGGACACTCACTTTTACGTTAAATGCTTCTGTGATTTAAAAAGAGAATGGCTGAATTTCTGGCCCTGAATAAGTCCTGGTGAACTTGGGTAAATAACTTTTTGACAGCACCGTCAACAGACTGCCTTCCGCTGGAAGGTAAAGGGTCTAGTCTTAGAACTACTTTCATTTTATTCTTTTAAAATAGAAAGTGCAGACAGAGACGTGGTGTTTTCCCTCCTAGCGACAGGAGGGACCGCGGCCGCAGCCTGCCGCGCCGCTCTGGCCTCGGGCCCAGCTCGGAGGGGACCGGGCCGAGACCCGGGCAGGGGCGGGACCGCGGTCGGGCCTCCCCCAGGGCCAGCCTGGCAAAGGGCAGCAGCTCCGAGCGCGCCTCGGCCGGCGTCCGAGGACCCGGCGGATGCCGGGGGGCCCGGGTGGGGATGGGAGGCGAGTCTGGGCCCCCGAGGACGGCGTCGCCCGGAGGAGGGAGCAGGCGCGACCTGCCGCGCATCTCTGGGCAGCGCCAGGCGGCCACCGCTCCGGGAAGGAGGGGGTCCCAGGGGCCCCCACTGCAGGCGCTAGAGGATGCTGCGGGGAAGCCCAGCGTCCCGGTGCGGGTTCAGGGCCACGGACCTCCTAGCCCGAGCCCCCTTCAGCCCCGTCTCCTACCTCGGCCCGGGGCTCGGGGGTCAGGAAGACCGCGAGCTCGCGCGCCCCGCTGCGCACAGGCTCCGGCCCGTCGGCGTCCACGAGCAGCATCAGGAGGGCGGCGGGGTCCGGCTGGCGGAGACTGCCCCTGAACCGGTCGCCGCGCTCCGGCCTGGGAGCCCCGCCCCCTGCCCGCCGCACGCTCTGCCGCACGCCGGGCTGCATGCCCCGCGGCCCGCCTGGCGGAGGCGGGGCAGGTGCGCGCCCGGCGGTCGCGGCGCGGGGCTCCGGATCGCGGGCCGAGCGTGCAGCGCCACCCCGTGGCGAGCGGCGTGCGCTGCAGCCGCCTCCGCACCACCTGGTCGACCCTTGGCGGGCACGCTGGCTTGCAGATTGCCGTCACCTGGGCTCTTTTAAAACTTCCCGAGCCCGGGACACCCGCGGTCTCTGCGTGGGGTGAGACCTGGGCATCGGGATCTTTTGAAGCTTTCCAGGTGGTTCCAACTAACTTTGAGAACCGTCAACTTAATTTGAGAACCATCGGTGCAAACCACCCTTTTCCACCGGAATCCCGATAGAGCGCTGGTTCCCAGCACGGGCTGCACAATCGAATCCCCTGGGGAGTTTTTAAAAGCCCAGCAACCAGGCCTCACACCTGGCTGGTTAACTCAGAACCCTTGGGGTGGGGCTTGAGCATCCGTCGTTTTTAAAGCTCCCGGGGTGATTTCAACGGGCATCCAGGATAGAGAGCCACTATCCTAGGGGGTCCTTGCACTTAGAGCCTAAAGCTGACGGCTCCCAGGCCCATCCTACTCAAGCATCTATTTCGCGCCAGGCAGAGAGCCTTGAAAATTAGGGAAACCGGGGTGCGGTGGTTCTCCTTTTCCTTCTTAGGAAAGCTTTTAAAAAACTCCCTCAGGGAATTCTCAAGTGCACTAAATTTTGCAACTCCCCCCCTTTCCCCTCCCCACCCGCCGTCTTCCGAGCCTTGCCCGGACTCCTTAGGAGGCCCGGGGCTGAAGAGGGCGGGGGCGGGGGCGGCACCCCCCCAGCAGTGCCAATGAAGAAAGTACTGAAAGGTAAATAGGTATAGGGAAGTCTAGAGTTTTGATTTTTCGTTTTTATGACTTTTGTTTAAACATTAAATTTGTTTTTTAAATGGGCTGGTTTGGGGGTTGCAAATATAAATATACGAGATGCCCCACACCCTCCTCCTGTTAAAGTCGAAACGCCAAGTAGGGGGTCTAAACACGTATTTGACCTGCCTTTTGGGTAGTGCATCAATGCACAATTCCCACTTACAAATCTGCCCACTGCTGATTTCTCCGTATCCAGATGTTCAGGCCCTCAGGCTGAAGTCATCTTCTGGGAAATTCTTGGCAAAGACTTGGGCCTCAGGTGCTTGGAAAAAAGGTTTTATAGGAATTTCCTGCGCCCACACTTGGTCATTCGTCATTGTCATGATTTTCCCGATGCTCCGAGCCTTCCACAAATCACACACCCACCCAGGAACCAGCCTCAGACCCTCCCCCCTGCCGCTGGCTGGGGACCTCCCCCAGGGAAGCCCAGACCTGGCCTCAGATTGCCCAAATAGACTTGCGCACAACAAATCCCCCTGGTGGAGGAATCTCAAAAGCGTAATGCTAAGGGAAAAAAGATGAGTTGCAGAAGGCTCTGTAGGGCACTCTGCCATTAACACACAGTTTTTAAAACATGCAAAACGGCACTATATATTGTTTATGGATACAGACAGATGGAGTAGAAGTGCAAAGCTGTGCACGGGAGCGATGCCCTCCACGTTCCGGAACGTGGCTACGGGGGCGGGGAGGAGGGTAATGACATGGAAGAGGTGCAGGAGAAGGGTTTCGACATTTATAATGCTTTATTTCTTCAGCTGATGCTTGTTATAATATTTAAATTTTTTGAATGCCCGAAATGACTTATTAAAAAACAAAAAGCCTGGGATATTAACTAAAAGTGTTCATTGCCCAAATCCCCTTCCAGGGGAGGGGATCTAAGGAAGGGGTCTCTGCGTTCCCCATGATGCATTCATACCCCGGGCCAAGTGAGCTAGCCAACAATCATTTTGTTTCTAGCCTTTTTTTCCCTAAATGTGTGATTGTGCCTTAAAAACATTTGGTTAAAAATACAGATGCCCTGAGCCCTACCCCAAACGTTTCGAATCGGGATCTTTGGGGAGAGCAGAGCTGGGCATCTGCATTTGAACAAGGCCCGTGGTTGACTCGGAGGCACACCCAGGTCAGAGAATAACCCCTGTCCCCGGCTCCACCTCGCCACTGGCATTAGCCAGGGACCCCGCAGGAGGCCACATAAATGGTTTTAAACAAAGAGGACTGAATGTTTAAAAATCTCCCCTCAGCCTCTCAGGGGTGCTTGTCTCCTGCCCCAGGGCCCTGCCCTCGGTGGTCCCGCGCTAGGTCTGCAGCCCTCGGGGAGCCCCAGGGCCAGGCGGCCAGCCCGAGGCCTGGAATGCAGCCCGCCCAGGCCGCACCCTGCCCAAACCAGTTTGAACCAGCTCAGGGATGGAGCCGTGGCGCGTTCCCACGAGCTCCCTCTGGCGCCCAAGCCGGGCTCAGAGCTGCTGCCGCCGCCTCCTGCTCTGGAGGCCTCCCCGGGGTGCGGGCGGGGGCTCCATCCCAGGCTTGGGGGTGCCGGAGGTTGCAGACCAGGGAGGCCGCAGGAGCTGTGCCCCCAGCTAGGCCCCAGGTCACACGCCCTTCCCCGCCCCACCTTATCTGCTCCACCTCTGGAGGCAGCCTGTTTGCCTGGCCTTGTCTTTTCAAAGTCAATTCTCCCAGCTCAGGCCTCAGGCACACAAGGTTCTAGACTAGCGACAGTTCCCAAACTTAGCTGCGCATTGCAAACTCCTGGAAAACTTCCAGAAAATGCTGATGCCCAGACCCCACCCCAGAGATTGGGACTTAATTGGTCTGGAGTGTGGCCTCGGCTTTGAGAGTTTTAAAGGATCCTCCGGGTGACTCCAATCTGCACTGTCCCAGTGCTTGCTTAACCCTGTGGGCCTGGGAGATCGTACAGCCGCGGTTTCTGGGTCCCCCGGTCTCTGCGACAGTACTCGTTGCTACCATGTCCCAAGTGCTTACGATGTGCCAGGCACTGTTCCAAGCTCTTTTCATAGATGACCTCATTGACTCTCCACCACACCCTGCGAGGTAGGTAGGCCCTGCTATGATCCCCATTTTACAGATGAAGAAACTGAGGCCAGGAGAGGTTAAGTCACTCATCCAGGGTCCTAACTGAGGAATGGGAGAGGCAGGGTTTGAGCTCAGACGCTCTGATTCCAGAACCCAAGTTCTTACCTGCCACACGTCCCACACTGCTTCCTGCAAGGTGACCCAGCCGTTGGATCACGTCGCTGGCTTCCCTCGTCCAAGCCTACTAGGAAAGCCACTGGTGCTGGGCCTGTCCCTGCCACCCCACCTGTCCCATTGCTTTCCTAAAATACACGCCAGTCCTCTCCCTTCTTGTTCGTGATTCTTCTGTAGCTCCCCGGTGCCCACCAGGAGAAGTTCAGAGACCACAGCCCTGGCCCTACCCTAAGTCACAAATGGGAGCCCGAGAGGCAGGGCTGGACCAGAGAGAGGCAGGTGGGACGCTCAGAGCACACAGGGTCACACAGGGTCAGGGTTGTTTGCTGCCCAGGGTCCACACCTGAGAGTGGGGTCTCCTTCCCTGACCTATAACCTGTAGGCGGGTTTGGTTTGGATGCTGCAGTTAAAATTCATGTACCTTTTCCTACAGCAGCCTTTTATAGTTCACACACACGTCCAGGTGTGTGGCTTCTCTTGAAAGGATCTGGAAGCCATGGGCCTGCTTCCTGGCAAGGCAATAGGTGGCCAGTTAAGGAGCTGCCCAAGTTTGCCACGGACTCCCCCACCCGGCCCCAGACTCCCACTGGCACGTTGGCCCCTAAAGGTCTCTGGGTTTGTGACTCTGGGTCCCCTGAACGTGCCCATGTCTGCTGGCCACGTCTGCGTCCAGCCTTTCCTATCTGGAATGCCTTAGGCCACCCACTCAGCCAACCACCCCGCCCCGCCCACTAACTGGCCTTTGAGGCCCCTCTTCAGAAGCCCTTGTCCTGGCCCCCGAACAGACATGCCCTTTAAGCTGGCCCTCTGAGGCTGTCTTCCTTCTGCTTCCTTGTTAAGTTCACCACCAGACAGAAAGTTCCAGGAGTCCAGCAGGCTGCCTTGGCGTATTATGAATCCTCCATAAACATGTATATCTAAAACGTGAAGTTGCTGTCCTGCTTAGTGTCTGTTCCCTGCACCCTCCCCAGCAAAATCATTTCAAATACAACCCATCTTCACAGAAGCACAGCAAAAAACAAGGTTTTCAAAAACATCTTTACGTACCGCTTTGAAATGCTCACTAACCAGTAACAAGAAACAGCAATGGCAGCTGCCCGTCCTCTCCCAGTAGCAGGGAAAGCTTCTAATTCTCAGAGGTAATTTGACCAGTTTCTCTCCATTCCTTTCCTTTCCACAGCAGAACCACATGAAGGGTCTTGCAGCTTTGGAGGCCAGAGGCCAAGGGTCAAGGTTCAAAGTGCT